AAGGCTGACTTTCCATCCCCCAGTCACCCATCCTCTCAGGTCACCCAGATAACACAGTCACTTGGAACAGGAGAATAGCAATGTTGGGGCTTTCTATAGGAAGCAATACCTTGTGTTTCTATGGCAAGTTAAAGGTTTACACGAAGCTTTGCTCCTCACAACAACCCTGTGAGGTAGGCAGGGCAGCCCTCATCCCTCCCATGGTACAGGTGGGGAAACGAGATCCCAGAGCTGGCCCAGCTCTCATTTCTCCAGGCCGACTCCCCACCCCCACCCCCACCCCAATCTGTGTATTTAGGCAAAGCCTGCTAAATTCTCCCATCCTGGGGAAGTGCCCTCTCAGATCATTTATACAGAGGCCAAAACAGAGGGAAAGTTCAGTTGTCTGCACACAGGCCAGTTCAAGGAATAAGGAAACCCAGGTGTAAGCCCTCCTTAGCCAGGGAGTCCATTTTTCATAAACAGATAACCACCAGCCTTCAACTGCCTGGACAACATTTACTAAACCAGGTGACAGGAAAACCAAGCAGGTAAAAAATGTCTTGGGAGAATCCCTGTGTGAAAGCCCCAAGTGTGACTGTGTCAGTGACTCCCATGTGGCTGAGAAGAGCCATCTTCAGCAAATCAATGGCCTCTGGCTATCATCTGGATTGTTCAAACTGCCCTTCATTTAGAGACAAGAACCAAGCGTTAATGGCACTGACCTTGACCCAACAACGGGCTTTTCCACTTCCCCTTTAATCTCTAATGAATACATTCATTGGGCCCCATGGAGCATAATTACCCAGCTCTCATCTGTCTGTGGAAGAAGGGTATAAATTGGGGTCTGCCTCAACCTGCAGCTCTATTAAATTCACAAGACATTAAGTGCCTACAATACACAAGGTGGTGAGAGGCCAGGCAGATCTTGGACAATTTTTTCCATGCCCAGGGTACCCAAGAGAAAGCATTAGTATGGCCAACCTTGGTTTCCTGCCTGTGATACTAAATGTGATCCTGGACAAATAGGAGAATCAAAGGCCACAGACTTGATGTTGGAAGGGACCTTAGAGGCTACTGAACCAACTCCTTCATTTTACAGCAAAGGAAACGAAGGCTCACATGGGTGAAATTATCACACCACTAGTAAGTGTGCTGCTGCCAGGATTCGAATTCAGTCCCTCTGGTTGTTCATACCGTGCTGCCTAAAATTTAATTCTTCTGAGTCTCAACTGAGACTCCATTAAAATGGAGATAAGTAGCAGGTACACCCCCAGGTTGTGAGTTTCACATGAGATAATTTATACGAAGTACTTAGCAAATCTTTAGATGACAGAAAAAATGCCAGGGACCCAAGGAAGGATCACAGGTACAAAGGTGAAGGAACAGAGGTAAAATCTGGTTAAATGTTTTATATGTTAAACTAGTACGATGGGAGTAGGGAGAATGGGCCTCGGGGCTTCTTGCCTGTCATGAAGAAGCACTTGTGATGGAGTTGATAATAAAAACAGAAAATCCAAACCTGGGACATGTTTTCACTTCTCCGTATGACTCGGGATTATCCAGGGAGTGTCAGAACTGGAGAGAACAAGTCTGACCCCCTGCTTTGGGGGATGTGGAAATGGAGGCTCAAGGGCAAAATGAGGGTCACACAGCCAGTGAGTATGGTTCCACTTCTGGAGTGTGGGGCTCCCGCCCCTGAGGTGTGCTGGCTAACGTGTGGTTAGGAAAGCCTGTGACTGCAGAGATGCCCTCGGCTGCCCGAGCTGGTTCCTGCTCTGGGCTCCTATGCCTCATGGTCCCTTTGCGGCTATGGGATGTCCCTGGGCCTTGCTGGTATATGACTACTATGTCTAATCTGCTGTGAGTGGGGAAAACAGACAACCAAATTTTTTAGAAACGTGTGTATGGTGCCAACAGACTCAGAGGGACCGCCTTTCAATCAATCAATCAATAAACATTTATTAAGCACCTACTGTGTGCTGGGCACTGAACGGCTAGGCACTGGGGAGAAAAAGACAGAAGCGAAACAGTCCATGCCCTCAAGAAGCTTATACTCCAGCTGAGACTTTGCATACAATGCCTAGATTTTAATCAAGAAATTTCTCAGAGGCAGCTAGATGGTGCAGCGGAAAGTGCTCCAGCCTTGGAGTCAGGAGGACCTGAGTTCAAATCTGGCCTGAGACACTTGACACTAGCTGTGTGACCCTGGGCAAGTCACTTAACCCCAATGCCTAGCCAAAAGAAAAAAAAGAAATTTCTGATAACTCTTTAGACTACTTGTCTCCGAGAAGGGGTGACCTTTTTCCATTAAAAAAAAAGCCTACCTGTGGCCTTGGTCCCATACAGTTTTCTGAATATAAATAAATTACACACACGCCCAAGAACTCTTGCCTAAGGCCTATCACAAATCATTTTGATGTGGACAGCTTCTGAATCTCTCTGCTCCTGAGCTTTGTGCTCCCGATGCTCCCTGCCTGCCTGCTGCCACCACCTGCTCAAAAGTGACCTCCTCCTCCGAGGGCTCTCCTTCCTGATTCCCCTATTTCTGTTCACCACACCATCATTCAGTCAATTGTCTGTGCTGGAATTCGTTTACTTGTTGAGAGGCACGTGACAGAGGGGGATTTTTCGTAAGGTCTAAGTTGGAGTAGATGGGAGAGGGGAAGGGAATAAACATTTATTAAACACCTGCTGTATGCCAGGTGCTGTGCTAAGTGCTTTACAAATAGAATCTCACTTGATTGAGTTAATTATCTGGCTGATGGTGTCTAAGGGCCCTTCCCATTTGGAGATGCGACGATTTATTGATGCCGCCTTTCACTCCTTTTCTCTCACCTTCGCGTTGGGGTTGCAGTCATGTACCCTGTTCCTTTGATTTTTCCCACTGCCTCGCTAGCATGTGGCCCCTCATTTCCATTTCCATTACCATGGATGGTCCTGGTTTAAGGTCCTTCTTTGTTGCCTGGACTATGGGAACAGCCCCGTTGGTAATCTCCTCTTTCTAGTCTTCTCTAATTGCTCTGGCTGGATTAATCTTCCTAGCCTAAGACTCTGTTCATGCATCATGATTCTCAGATGCCATGGAGATGTCTCCGCTGCCCCCTAATCAGGTCTAAACGCCCAGCTTGGTACCTGAGTTCTCCATAATTGGACTCCTTCCTTTATTTCCAGTCTTATCTCATGCTATATCCCCCTTCACACACCCTGTGTCCTGGCCCGATGGATGACTGACCTTTCCCCAAAGCTGTATTGGGCCTTCCTAACACTCTCTGCTTCTACTTTTCCCCACGACTGGACTGCTGTCCTCCTCACATTCTGTTGAAAGTTGACTCATCTTTCAAGATTCATTTCATATGACCAGTCCCTCCATATCAAGCTACTCTTCATTTCTGCCTCTCTATCCCTCAACAGAGCTTTGGAGAACAGAAACCATCCTCCTTCTTAATTTAGCAAAAGGCCTTGAAGATGGTATGCATTTCATATATGCACATTAGATGAATGAGTGAGTGAATGAATGAGTGAATGAATGAATGAATGAATGAATGAATGAATGAATGAATGGCATTCTTGGAAATCCCCTTAAATCTCCCACCTCTCTGTCAGGAGGTAGGTAGGATGTTTCATCATCTGTCCTCTGGACTCATGGAGAGTCATTACATTGATCAACTGCACTTTTAAAATGGTTTGTTTTCACAGAGTTATTGTTCATGTATAAATTGTTTTCCCAGTTCTGCCCTTCTCATTGTCCATCAGTTTACAAGTCTTCCAAACTGTTAATATTGATGTTAGAGTAATAATTGTTTTGCTGGTTCTGTTCCTCTCACTCTGTATCAGTTCATCTAAGTCTTTCCATGTCTCTTTGGAATCATCTATTTCCTCATTTCTCAGGGCACAATAAGATTCTATCACATTCATACACTACAATTTGTAAAGTCATTCCCCATCTGATGGGCATGTCTTTGGCTTCCAATTTGGTTTTTTTGACATCCATAAAAATATTTTTATACATGTAAATCCTTTAGCTACTTATTTATCTCTTTTGGATATAGGCCAGCAGTTGAGCCAAAGGGCACACTGTTTAAGTAATTTTTTATGCATAATTCCAAACTGCCATCTAGAATGGCCATATCCATTGATAGGTCAATGATTCCAGAACGATGATGATAAAACATACTATCCATTTCCTGACAGAGAGGTGACAGATTTGGGGTGCAGAATGAGACATGTATGTATTACTGTATATATCCAATGAGGGATTGTTTTTCTTTCAATGGGATGGGGGTCAGTGGGAGGAAGAGAAAATAATTTCTATAAATTAATGAAATCATTAAAAAATAGAGAGATGGGAAGGTGCTACAGATGTGGAATATTGCATACACTTTCAGATGAGGTCACTGTAATGTTAGTTTTGCCTCATCACAAGAAGCCTGTCATGGTGCAGCGACAATCTGTAAATGTTTGTAACGTGAAAACAAAGCGCATCAATAAAATTTTTAAAAAGGGGGGGAAGGGTTCCCTTAAAAGACAAGTGGGATTACTTTCTAGGAATGGCCCAAATGCAGCCATCTCTCCAAAAGTGAGGCATGTCCACTCACGGCCCTTCAGGATCCTTTCACAGTCCCATGAGTCTGTTTACGCCAATCCATTGTTTCTCCCATTTTGACACCAGGAAGAGACACAGATTCCTCCTCCCTCTCACAATTTCCTCAAAATCCTCCCCTAGAAGCTATGAAGTAAATAACACACATTTGTATAATGTTTACAGTTTACAAAATACTTTCATGTACATTAGACCATTTGAAATAGAGACTAAAAACTCCAAACCGCTTGAATAGCCCAACACCTTCCTTGTCATAGCGCATCCACAAAACAGGAAGGGGCTGGAAGAAATCAGCTTCCAAACGTGTCTATTTTTAATGAAGATAATAAGTGAATGCGGGAGGAGACAGCGGAAGCACAGAAGCAAATATGAGTTAGTCCTAGAGGGATTATGCATGTTACAAAGATTGTGCATCACAGCCTTTTAAAATGATAAAATGCCTTTATTTCAATTATATACAACATTTATCATATACACCTCAAATGTTGATAAAACTTTGGTCTGGTTGTATTCAACGATTTTGTAACAGCTATAAAAATCACATAACATGTCCAGATATATGGCAATGACATTCATGTATGAGAACACTTTGATTTCAATATTCAACCACATTTGAAAAGAACATTCCATTATGCAGCAAACACACAGGGGCCTGTGTGCAGACCAAATTCAGAACGTACCAGCCAAACTGGGTTGATGGTGCAGGTGACAGTGAAAAATGATTCAACTGCCTACACCTTCTCTTGCCCATTAGGAATTAGGAATCTGCACAGTGATGGTTATAACTTTTGGTATAGCACTTGTTAATGAAGGTTAGACACTCAAGGAGGATTAGCCAAAAGGATAAAGGGTATTTTCAAGGTAAGCTATCATTTCAAAAGTGTGCTCTTGCTAGAAATTAAAAGTACTAGGAAATGAATTTAAACAAATATCTTTTTTTTTAAAGGAAAAAACCCATCTATCTCAATAGCGTTATATATAAAATATATCAGATAGGCAATGTGCACATAAAATGAAATAATCCCCCCCCCAAACAAACAAACAAAAATATATCTATATATCAAGGAATGATTGGTAATATGGCCCCCAAGGCTTGATGTAGGGTGAAGTGCCTAGATCAGCAGGTCAAGGTGTAATCTGACTTCAAGACTCCTCCAGGTGTTGAAGGCATCAAAACTTCATTGTCTAAATGAACTTTCATTTCTATAAGGCATAAATCTTATCACATAGTAACCTAAATATTATTCAGCAGCTTACTGCCTTGAAATCATCTGTGGTATCTGTCACAATGTGCCCATTAAAATAAATATACTAGGAATGATAAATAGAAGGCATTGGAATCAGAGACAAACCCAAGTGAGGATCAATCAGTTACAGGTAAAGGGCTACTTGGTCTTGACAATAAAATGGTGTCATGAATGGCCAGTCACAGCCACATGTGTCTACAGGCTTAGAGCAGAAATGAAAGGCACTGAGGCTGCCTTGACTTTGAACTGGAAACTAAAGCAATGAACCTTAATAGTAGTTATTTGGTGCTCAACCTGAGCTCATAGTAATAGAGCCATGCCCCCTCTTTAAAAATCTAGATGGCAAACGCAATGATTGGCTGAAGCTGACAAGAGACTACATACGCGCCTATAGAGACCTTTGCGATTGAGAGTAGTGAGTGATTCAGTCACTGATTGCCACACAGTGCATACAGACCAACCTAGACTCTGGAGTTGTCGCCAGGAGAGAAAACCCCTAAGTATTCCTATATTAAGACTGATTCTGCAAAGTGCCTTTCTCCCTTCTAGCTGTCTACACTACATCAGCGGCTGTGAGCCTTCTGCCTTGACTCATGACATGGTGCATTCTTCTTTATTTTTATCTCTGTCCTTACTGGCGCTACCCTGGGCGTCCTCTTTGCACTCTGCCTTGAGGCTGCCCACTGGGTCTTCGTGCTCATCGCCGTCTGGGCTACTGCTTTCTAACGCTTCCTCAGCTGTCTCTAGTTGCTCATCCGACTGCTCGAAGTTTTCCTCCATACTCTCGGTGGGAGAGCTATCATTAGGGGGTGACGACGCATCTTCATTTTCGGGGTCACTGCTCGCTGCTCCCGTATTTTCCGGTTTGGACATCTGGCTTTGCTCCATTGCTTTCTTGGTGGGGATGGACTCTTCTTCTATGCTTCCAGCCTCAGCAACCTCGGAAGGACTGACCTCTCCCTTTCCACCCGCTCCCGATGGATGGGCTGCATCACTGTCGAGCTCAGATACTTTGCCGTCATCAACTACGTCTCCTTCAGGAATCTCCGCTTTATCAACTTCTTGATTTGGGTTGTCATCCAATTCAGCTTTGGCTTCCTCTGGACAATCCACATATTTGTCGAGATCAGTCCTCGTTTCTGGCTTCTCCTCTTGGACCACCTTGCCAAGGGCGTCTTGGGCTTGATTCTTGGCTTCCAACTTCACTTCCTCCTCCTCCTCCTCCTCCTCCTCTGTGTTTTGGAAGACCAACTCTTTCTTAACATCTTTGGAAGAGTCTACAGGGGGTGACTTTTTCTTCCTGTTTTTCTTCTTCTTGTTCTTGGACTTTTTGGAAGAGGAGTCACCTATCTCCCCTTTCTGGCCATCTCTCTCTGCTGCGGGCACATTCTGATCTAAGCATTCATTTTCACCAGTCGTGACCTTCTGGCCCATTTTTTCTGGCTGACTGCCCTTGACTTTTGAAGATGGGACTGTCTGGATTTGCTCCTCCTTTAGGAACTCATGTTCTTTCTCCTTACTTTGTTCCCCTTTCATGAGACTTGCACCTTTTTCATCTCCATCTTTAGCCCTTCTGCTATCCACTTCCATGTCTACCTGCATCCTGTCTTTGGCTTCCATCCCTTCAAGCAAGCTTTCTGAATGATTCTCACTTAGTTCCTCAATCACTGCGCCTATTCTTTCGGTATCTGGTGTCTCCACAAGATCAGTTTCCTGAGCTAATTCCCCACTATCCTCTTTCTGCTTTTCTACTGATTCTTTCTTTTCATTTTGAGCAGCTAAGGAACTGCACCTGTCCTGGCTAATCACATCACCTAGAAAATGAGGGCTCCCTGCAGGTTCCTGATTCTGATCAATATTGCTACTCTTTAAATCGCTGAGGTGATCGGGTTCCATGCTAGCCCCCAGGCTGTCTCCGCCCTCACTGGGTTCAGCCTGCTCGTTGGTATTTCCAGGGACAGAATGCGTTTCTGGCACATGGGCTGGATCGCTGGCTAATGCTTCTGGCACCAGGGCATGGTCTTGTGAGGGGTTTTCTGCCTCTGCATTCCCATCAGGAGGTAAGGCCTTTGTCTCCGCACCTGCCTCTGCAGAATCCGCCTGGGGCTGCTCACACTCAGGATTCTGCAAGGCCGCACTTTCCCCCACTTTGTCCACATTCTCACTGGCCACCTTCACTTCACTCGCTCTTCCTAAAAGACCATTGAAAAAATTGAAGGGACCACGAGATGCGGCAACCACTTACTAGCGATTCAAAAGCAAAAACACAGGTTAACTCTCACCCAACCCCCGTCCCCAAGGAGAAAGAATCATCGAGGAATCCCAGTTAATAAGAGATCATCAGCTTTTGCCAATTCTGTGAGGCAAAGCAGCGACTGAATTAGTAAACCATTCGGACAGGGAAGCCCGCCACCAGCTGAAAGACAACAGGGATTCCGCGGCAGTTGGCTTTGGAAAGCCAAGTTCGGGTTTTCACAATTAAAACAAGCTTTGGAGCAGGCAGCCCGACGTCCTCCCCAACTATCACATTCAGGAATGGACTTGATGGTCAAGTTTGGACATTGACTCTGCCCCGCTTATTTCTAGACGCTATGCCTAATGAAAACTCTTCGATTTCGTTGGGGGCCGAGGGCATTGCCTAGCATACAGATTCTAAGAAGGTCTCTGAAGTTCCCCCCTAAAATCCTTCAATTTCCTGGAAGAAATTCACCCCTAAAAATCTATCCTGGTTAAACCGGCGTTCGTCAACCATCCTATCAAAGTACATAGAGATTATTCTGTCTTCGATCACGTTTTGTTTTTCTTTCCTTAACTTCTGTTCTCAGATATTTGGCTTTATTATCTAAGGAAAGGGGAAGGTACTCTGCCGGTTCATTACAGTAAAGGGGACTTGTCAGGAAACAGTCCAAGGCCTCCAAGCCCCACACTCCTGCCTTAGGAGGAACGGTGTGGCTTTCATTCCTGGAGGCTTTGAAAAGATAAACGAACCAAATTCTTAAACACACAAGGATGCTTAAATCCGAGAATCAAGCGCTCCTCTGATCACCGAGGCTGCAGGTTTTGCTCACAAGTCAGCAAGCTACCTGTGGTTAGAGATTCATAAAATGCACTTTTGGACCAGACAGCAGCTGGCCCATTTCTCCCCTGAATGGTCATTTGCCTTCAAGGGAGGTGGGAAGCCAGCTTCTTAGCTCCCTTCAATAATTTCTATCTTCTCCAAAAAAACAGAAACTCCCGATTATTTTCCTTCCACTTGGACACACGCTTAGAATCTACATTCTTTTGTCTTTGGGCTTTCACACTTCCAGAATTGAAACAGAAAGGAAGTGAAAGCTACCAAGTGGAAAATTAAAATGATAGGAAAACAGATTTAGAGATGGAATGGACCTTATAGATCATGGAGTACAGCCCCCTCATTTTTACAGATGAGGAAACTGAGGCACAGAGGAGTTAGGTGACTTGCCCTGGGGCACACAGTTATGTGTCTTAAGCAGGATCTGAACTTGGGTCTTACTCCAAGTTCAGTGCTTTATCCGCTATGCCAGAGACGTCAAATAATGGCCTGCAACATTCCCACATGTGACCAGAACCAGATTAAGATATAATTGGGGAATATTTAACAAAATAAATAAAAATACAGTAAAATATAGGTAATATTACATTTGAAAATGAAATCAATAGGCAGCCCATAGTTATCTTTTTTATGGTTCAGTGGTCCCTGTTTCCATGAGTTAGATACCTCCTTGCTGTGCCAGCTGGCTGCCTCAAAATGGTTTGCCATAACATGATTATTCAGCCTCCATAAAAATGTCAATAACTAGTGTCTGGTGAGGACTCATCCAGGTTGCAGATTCCAGCACCTGCTACCTTCTGAAGGCCAATTCACAATTTAGCACATACTCTAAAAGGGGCATATACGTTCAGGAGAGACAACTGAGATCAGTTTGTGACCAATGGAGAACATGAGTCACCCAATTGCCTCAGAGTGAATAAACTGTGCTAAGCTCTCATGGCCTCCTAGATTCCCTCTCCCACACTCCTTTCAGAAGGCAAAGCATCCTGGGTGTAATAATGTCAATTCTGACAAAGAAGGAAGAACGCTGCATGCAGGTGTCCAACTGCCACGTCTGAATAGTATAGTTAGTGTGCTGGCTCCATGAAGGTTATGGAAACCCAGAGTCACAGTCACAAAATGTCATTGCTAGCCAGGACCTTTGGGATCACCTACATATGTATTTTTTGAATGGTCAAGTATTCTTTACTGGACCTGACTGATTAAGCAATATCTCAGACTCTCACAATGCATTCTACTCTAACTAGCATTTTAGATGAGAAAATCTGGTAAATGACCTTGTCCACTGCTTCTATAATCATCAGACATTCCTTATTCCTCTATGAACTAGAGATAAGTTAGTCAAAGAAAACTTAGATGTTAGAGATGCCTATATCCAACTGTACTTTTGTCTGGGAATTTTGGTCCCTTGCTTCCCAGCCTTATTTGACTGGCTTGAGTCAACTGGGTTGAGGAACGAGGAAAATGTACACTGAGGCCATCCATGATTGCTAGTGGAAAAATTCGCACGACAACATATGCAGGTAATCAGAACCACTTAGCAGCAGAATGCATAGGAAATGACAGAACATGGTGGCATGCGGTGTGATTAGTGAACTGACCAAGTGATAATGGATGGCTTCAATTCCAATCAAGCACAGAAGGTGAAGAAATGAGGACCAGAAAGAGGAAAGGGCCCAGGAGGCAGCAAGTTCTTACCAAGTGTCCCATCGCTAGATGACTTTATGACATTTGTTTCCTGTTGTGACACTTTGGGAGATCCCAAGTGGCTCACATGACTTAGATTATCCAGAGGCTCTCCATTGGTGGTGATTTCAGAATTCAGGATTATTCCATGTTTCTGTGAACAGGACAGGATCACTGTAATATTCACTAAGTAATATTAATCAGTCTATTCTAGAAAAATCTGCAGATGGTGCTCCCTAAACAGACTGCTCACACAAAGGGGTTGGTTATGGTAAAACACCTTGAAATGAAAAAAAAAATTCTAGTAGCATTCGCAAAGTGCTCTAGGATGTGGTCCCTTTACATGTATCTGCCAATTAGATGCATTCCATCTGACTTTACTCCTTCAAGCCAGGTCTAATCGTGCCCGTGAGGTATTGCTGACTATAAGGTATCCCTCCACATATGGAATTAATTATATTTTGGTAAATCTTGCTACCAAGAAAACTGATATAAAGTGAATTTACTTTCCATTACCATCTATTACTGAAAAGGCCTCATTAAGTGGGAATAACAAATTACCTGAAACGGTCATATTATTTGAATTTTTACTGCATGTTTCCATTGGGCTGGGACCAATGGCCATACTTTATATACTTTCAAGTCTGAAATGTTCAAATTTGAATACATATGACCAATTCAGGGGATTTAGTATTCACGCTAATTGGGATGTAGTTGTATTTAAAAACCCACACAAACCAGCCCAGTCCTTGACTCCTAAAACAAAGAATTTAAGATGGTGGCATGTCCCTACATAAGCGAGGCCCTAGGTGAGTGGGACTTTGCCTGCTGTGGAAGGGCTCCCAGTCATTTTCAGAATGGCTGTAGTTTTCCAATGCCAGGATCTTGCCACCATTTTCATGCACCCATCCCTTTATCTCCATCACAGGTGCTTTGCTTGTGCTGTGGAAACGCCTCAGCTGGACAGGCAAAGCGCCAATAACCGAGCCCCCAATGCCTCTGTTGGCTCGAGGATTTACAAGGACTATTTGATCTGGGTTGTAATACCATGCTTGGTCAGTAGGTGTCACTTAGTCATAGGTTGATAATGACTGATTTATTCATGGGATCATTCATTTTATATGATTGGTTTTAGCACAGTTGGGCATGCTAACCCAACACCATACTGAAAGTTCCTTAAATTGGAGGTGTCAGCTTATGTGAAACAACCAGGCACGTTAGTCCATTCCATAAATCTGGATTCTCGGCTCTAAATTTGTTTAAATAGGCAATCCTCCATATTTCAATAACACTGATGATAAAAACGATTGATGGCCAATGTATACATATTAAGTTCCAAAAGACAGGTTGGAATTCAACAGGAGAAAGAAGTGGGAGTGCAATTCTAGGTGCAGGGCACAGTGTGAGCAAAGGCATGTAGGCTGGAAATTTCAGGGCATTTCAGGAGAGTGAGCTGTACAGTTTAGGTACTTGGAAGGGAGAAGCCTGAGAGAGGCAAGAGAGGGTAAATCTAGGAAGACAGCATGGTGCCAAATCATCAGAGGCCTTGAATGTGGGCTAAGGAGAAAGGTTCAGGGACAAACTGAGTCACGAAGAACAGCATGAGAAGCTAGCCTGGGTGAGAGGACGGTGACTGCCCTCTCAGCAAGTTTATAAGAGCAAAGAAAGGAGAAGGGAATAAGCATCTTTCTAGCATCTACTACAGGCAGCTAGTGGCACCAGAGTGCACAGAGTGCTGGGCCTGGGGTCAGGAAGCCTCAACTTCCTGAATTCAAATCTAGCCTCAGACACTTATTAGCAACTATGTGACCCTGGGCAAGTCACTTCACCCTGTTTGCCTCAGTTTCCTCATCTGTCAAATGAACTAGAGAAGGGAATGGCAAACCACTCCAGTATCTTTGCCAAGAAGCTCCAAATGGGGTCATGGAGAGTCTGCAGGACTGAAATGACTGGACTACAACAGCACCTACTATGTGCCAGGAACTGTGCTAAGCACTTTACAATTATTATCTCATTTGATTCTCAGAGGTAGGTAGGTGCTGTTATGATTCCTCATTTTATAGCTGAGGAAACTGAGGCAGACAGAGGTTAAGTGACTTGCCCAGGGTCACACAGCTAGTAAATATCTAGGGCCAGATTTGAACTCGGGTATTCCTAATGCCAGGCCCAGTATGCTGCCCACTGTGCCATAGCTGGTTCTGGCTCATTTACTCAGAGTTGGGAGGGACGAACAAACCCCAGCCCTTTATTACATAGACAACCATCCTACAAAACCTTTGGAAGTTTATGATCAGCAGTTTACAAATCTCTACGTATGGGAGGCTCCACTCCAACAAAGAGAGGCCACCATGGGTTTATCGGTCTTAGCTGACCTCAAGAATCGGCTTGCCCCAAAGCATGAGAGCTTCGAGAGCCCCTGGGTGGCGTCCCTCCCCAGGGAGAGGCAGGCCCTCGGCTGCTGGTCTGGGCTCCGTACCTTCAGCTCCTCCTTCAGCAGGATTGCTTCGGCTCGAAGCTCATCTCGTTCACTCCGGAGGGAATCAAAGTATTCCTTCTGCCTCTCTAAAGCCTGAGGCGGTGGCGGGCACCAGAGAGGAGGCAGACACACAAGAGGAAAGTAGAGACAAGCAGAGAGGATTTCAGAAACATTAGGGAGAGGAGAAGTGGGATCAGAGACCAAGAAAGTCTTAAGCATTGACGTACTAGACAGGACAGGTGAGAAACAGATCCAGTTAAACAATCTAGGTAAGGCAGAGGTGGGGAAGTACTGGAGAAGGTGTAGATGCCTACATTTTTGGAGCTGGGGTGATCCTCCTCGGGGACATGGGGAACAGAGGATGCATCTCTCTATCATTTTTACCTTGGACTAGGGGCAGACTGGGGTAGTGGATAGTGACCTGGCTTCAAAGTCAAGAAGTCCTGAGTTCAAATCCAGTCTCTGACACATGCTGGCTGTGTGACCTTGAGCAGGTCACTTAACCTTAGTGCTCTAGGCTGTTCTCTAGGACTATGATCAATGTTGCAGGGAAGGTGACAATCTGCATTGGTAGAGGGAGTTTCCTCACCCAGAAGTTCCCTACCCCTAACATTGGCCAGCTTACTGAAATGCTATGGCTTTCTCCATAGCCTGGGGATGAGAGATGATGGAATTCACAGACCTAGTTACATGGCCATTGACAGAGAAGGACAGCTATTGGTGGGGTCTCTCCACCTGGGATGCGGGAACTTTAAAAAAAAGAAAGATGTTTTGATAGCTAGATTTCAATATATTTGGCTTTTTTGTAATCGTACACATTTCATGTGTTTAAAAACATGATCCTTGGAAGGAGGATGCATTTGGGAGTTAGTTTTCTGGAAGATTCACGTATTTAGGCTTGATGCTAACTTGGGAAGTCTCTCTTGAGCATCACATACGATGTCTATCTCTCTATGTGCACAGACACATTATTTCTCTTTCTCCACCTATCTATCCATCATCTCTCTAGCGACCTATCATTTATCTTTATCTCTCTACCTATTTGTTGACTTATTATCTATCCAGTTACCTATGTACATATATATACAAATGCACACAAACATTACCTATGTATACATACATGTATATATGCACAAGACAGTATGTACTATCTCTACTTCTCCACCCATGATCTCTGTTTACCTATCATCCATCTTTCTCTCTTTTTATCTATCGATCTATCATCTATCTACCTATGTATAGGTACAAACAGGTATTATCCACCCTCTCACTATCTATTTACCCATTTCTCCATGATTGATCACTCTATCTATGTCCCAAAAGTCTTAGTTGAGTTTGATGACATTAAAGCTTACCTGCACCAGAACCTTTGGGGCAGCCTGTCTCTAGTTTTCATATGCCCTATAGGTCTGTATCTGTATGTTATTATTATTGTTGTTATCATTGGTTTGGTTTGGTTTTGGATTCTACTTGTTATATCTTCGCTTTTGGGAGCTCGAGGTGAGGGAACTCCCTCTACAATGCAGTCTGGCCCCTGCTTAGCGCCCTCCCATCGTAGTGGGTTGTTGGGGGGCACTGAGTGGTGAGGTGACTTATCCCAGGTCACACTACTAGTCTGTGTCAAAGGTAAGACAGGAGCCCAGGACTTGTGCTGGCTCTGAGCCCAGCTCTGTCTCCATCACGCCGAAGAATCCAAAGCACAACTCCTTGAGTGAGTTACTGAATGTGTAAGTGAAGGCTGGTCACATGTGCACATTTATTAAATAATGGCCCAACGCTCAGCTGCCTGTGAAGGTTTATTAAGAGTTACACGGCAGGTTACCACATTCACCCAGACTTGTCTGGCAGCAAGGGGAAAGAACACTGGACTCCAGGGTCAGGGGTGTGACCCTGGACAAATCCCTCCATCTCTCTGCTCCTGGGTACTCATCTGTAAAATGGGTATAGTTATACAGGCAGCGTCTACCAACTGGAGTCCCTGGGTGGATCAACCGTGCTAATGGCTAAACCTTGAAGATCCTCCCGTAGCCCCCAGGCAGCATCGCCTTCCTCCCAAGCATGAGCTTTTGGAGGGGAAGATGGTGGTCTGTAGGACTTTGTCCCCATGTCTCTTTTCCTTATGTTAAGATCTAATTTGGTCAACTGTGACAACAGGCAAAATGTGTTACAAATCTTAAAGTGTTATTAATGGAATAACTACAAAACTTATTTAAAGTCAAAGCTATAAATTAATAGCTATAAATGTTAGCTATTATTACTTCTGCTGTTATTATCAGCTGGTATGATGCAGAAGCAAAGGAAATGTTGTGGAGAAGAGAATCTCAGAATTTCAGTGCTGGAAGGTTCCTTGGAAGCCGGCTAATCCAACCCATGCCTGAAAAAATGGCTTCTGAACTATACCCCCAACAAATGGCCAGGCTTGGATGCTTCCAGGGATGGTGAGATCCCCCCCACTTGAGGCAGCCCCCATGCCCCTTGGGGACAGAGCTCACCCCACTCTAGACAGCAGCTGTCTAGAAGTTTTGTGTTCTCTTAAATGACAACCACATGGGTGTTGGTAATCCAGTGACATGGCGGTCCCAGCGCAGTGTTTTACAGACCTTGGGAACTTAGACATAAAGCTGGAAGGGACCTTAGAGGCCAGCTAGCCTCGCTCCTTCATTTTGCAGAAAAGGAAACTGAGGCCCAATGAGGGAAGCAGATTTAAGGCCAGGTCCACTGACTCCAAATCCCAGGCTTTTTCCACCACACCAAGTCAAGCAATCTTTGCCTTCAATGCTTGCCTGAAGTCCCTTTACATTTTGAATTAAAGGTTAATTCTGGGAAGGTCATTCATGCACAGAGCCCTAACCATGGAGTAACACGGACTCAATGTGTGGGCCTACACACGCTGCCTTTGACAGAAAGCCTATTTTGCTCTGCATGTTGGTTAAGCAGGCGGTTTGTTCACATACATTCCCAAAGATCTGAGAGGTTCCTACCCCTATCTTTTTGTCTTTCCATTCTATTGTTTCCTGAAGATCAGAAATCTCCCTGATATAACTCTCTTGTTTCTGCTGCAGTTGCCGGATTTCCTGAGGGACAGGAGCAGAGAAGACAGAAAGCAGATCATGGGTTAAACAGGCGAAGAAAAGACCAAGGACCCCGGCAGGGGATCCTGCCCCAGGGGACAGAGGGGAGAAGGAGAGAGAAAGTCCTTCCAGATGTCAAGGCGTCGGGTTAGCAGCGGGTCCTTGCCACTAGCCAGGGAAAGGGGCCCTCCACTCTAATCTGATTTCTCTATTGCATTCCAACCACTAGGGAGGCTGAGCCCGGCAGATTTCTTGACCAAGTGAGTTCTGAGCTGCAATGGGCTGAGCCAATCAGGGGCCTGCACCAAATGTGCCATCAGAAGGTGAGCCCATGGGAATGGTGGGCCACTAGGTTGCCTGAGGAAGCCCGTGTCAGAAACGGAGAAGCAGCGGTATCGGGCCTTGAGTGACCACTGTACTTCCAACCTGGATGAGATAGGGAGACCTTGTGCCCTAGTAGCCAGGATAAGCCTGTTCAATTCAACAAGACTTTGTAAAGTGGCTGCTCTGGGTTCACTCTGGGCCAGGTAGGCAGGCACGACCCCATCCCTCTCTCTTCCCATCTTCCTACTCCCCAGGAGCAAGCACCAGCTGCTTGGTCTGCAGACTAATTCCTTCATTGTAACCATTAAGAAATTTGTGAACATTGACCTGTTAAAAAAACTGGCACCTTGATAAAGGGGGGAATTTGAGCAACGTAAAACCAAAATTAATCAAAAAGAAAATGATCAATAATAAATGATTATCACAAATATCAATAAGAACTTACTTAAAAACCAAACCCCAAACCCGGGAGTCTCTTTCAGGGAAGCCTGTGGGGTGGGGGTTTGGAATGAGTCCACACTCTTCGATTCTCCCCAAACCTTTGCTGTTGCTGCTGTCCTTGGCCCTTCTGGGCTGAGCTGGCACCCGAGCAAAAAGGGGCACGCACTGAGCCACTTACCGCGAGCATCTCCTCTCTTTGCTTTAAGGCCTCTTTTGCTTCAGCAAATTGAAATTGTAGTACGCTGTGGGCATGTTTCTGCCTTTCGAATTCCTGTAAAGGACAAACACAAGCAGAGAGGAAGGTGAACCTCCCGAAGCTGGGATTGTTCGGGCTGTGGTCCTTACTGCTTTGTTCTTAGTAGCCCCAAGGCCTGGCACACAGTAGGTGCCTAAAAGGTGTTGGCTGAATGATTCCTTCATGGAGTTATTGTGACAAAAGGGCTTTACAAAAACTGAAGCATCTCATCATTCTGTAAAATCTCATCAGCCCTGGGACCCGCCTCCCCCCATCACTCCCCTCTGTCCCTCTCATTGGAGGGCAGGACCACGAACCCCGAACCCCTACTTAAGGGGAGCTCCTATCTGACATGTCTCATCTCTCAGCCGGCTGCATGCCTCTGAGACCTCTGTGCCATATCCAGCACTGGGTACCCTTCTCCTCCACCCTTCAATGAGTGAAGGGTCTAAGTTTTAAAAGTTTGCTCCTAAGTGATCCCTTCCCATTAAAGTTTGTATTCTAAGATATAAGAACATTGTTTTGTAACAATGTGATAAAAAGAAAGGGAAGGAAATGCCATAAGAAAGTGTCCTATTTGCCATTGAAAAATAATGTTATGATTACAAAAAGATTCTGTAATTTTCTCGTGGAAAAATCTGATTTGGGTTTATGAAATGAAAATGTTTCCCAGAAATCTCTGCTCAGTTGGGTTGGGTTTCGGGGAGGGGAAAGGGGCAGGGCCAGGGTTTGGTTTTTAGAACAAATCACCATGATTTAGCCCTGGGCTCTAAAACTCAATCCAAGCTGATCCCATTCTCCTCCTCCCCTTTTCTCTTTTTCCAAGAGTCCACTGGGGTCCAACATCCAACTGTAGAAGATGGCGCCTTACTTACTTTGTTTTTTTCTTCATACTGTCTTCGAGATTCAGCCAATTGCTCTTCCAGTTCCAACAATGCATCCTTTAGGGTATCCACCTGGTACATGAAGTTCATCTTTTCATTGTCTAACTGGGCATTAGAAACCATGGCCTTCTTGTATTTCTCCTCGACTTCAGCTAGGGAGTCCTGGGGAAACATGCCATAATTAGGAAACCAAAGTGAGAGATTAAACTAAAAGACGGCTATTAGTTGGATAGTTCTTGGGAAGTTAATCTTTGGGGGTAAGAGGAGGAGAGGAATAGCTTGTTAGATCTTTAATCTGTTAAGTGAAAAAAAATTAAATTAAATTAAAAATGTAATGACACAGGACCTGTAATCTACTGTTCAACAAAGAATTAAACATGCCCAGGGAGGAAAAAGATCTTTAAATGGCAGCATCTTAATCAGGTCTCAAATCCAGACCCCATTTCTTGAAGGGAATCCACCACAAATAGTAATTCAAAGTTTGTAGTTTCCTGCTTTTCAATGTGTTATACTACGACCAATATGCTACCAATATCCTACTCAAGTGATTTAGTTGTTAATAACCCAGTGTGTGGATCACGCATTCCTCAAGATGGCGGACATCTACAAAATGGAAAGGGCTCCCAGTCCCCTGGTGGCTATGCCAGCTTGGAAAACAAAGGGATTCTGCCATATGCAATCTCTGATGCCTCACAGGCTTCTAATGGTACCAGAGCTCCTGCAGGGTCCTGCTGATTTAGCACCCAAAGATGCCCACTGTTGGAATTACACCAAATTCCTCACCAAGTTTTCAAGACAGGAATAAGAAAGGTCTAGATAAGAGCCTTGGAGGGTCAGAGAACATGGCTCCAACTATGCCACCTCTTACCTACCTGTGGGACCTTGGGGAAAGTCATCAACCTCTCTGGGCCTTGGTTTCCCTTATTTGTCAGATGAAGGGGCTGGGACAATGAAAAGGCCTCTCTGGTCTCTTTTAGCTCTAAATCTATGATCCAAGATCCCGAGGTACCTGCTCGGCAGGAACTACGACATCTGGCAATCTGTGAAATGTTTTCACTAAAATGACAGGCATAGGAAGAACCTCGCGTCCAGCCACACTCCAAGCCCTGTGTCAGCAGCAGCTTTTGTAAACAACTATCTGGTTTTGGATACAACACTACAATGTCTGGCTTGTGAACCACCATCATTTACAGGGAACATTCAGGGCCCGCCCACGTGTGCTCTTAGTACTCTTGGCGAGGGCTGAGAAGGTCCTTCAGATGAGAAGATGGCTCAGCTGGATAGCGGGAAGATGTGCAAGGAATCATGGGATCTCTAAAAGACTGCACTTGAGGGCAGGCAAGGGGCTCCTTTTCATCTGCCTGTAGGAGGGGTGTGTGTTGGACTACAGAGTGTGCTAAAAGCACAGCCAGGAACAACGAACCGGGTTTAAATCCTGGCTCTGATAATTATTGGCTGTGTGACTTTGGATAAGTGACTTCCTCTTTCTAAGCCTCAGTTAACACATCTGTAACATGGGGGTAATAATAGCACCTAGCTCACACTGTAGGGACCAAATGAGATGATGTAGGTAAGACATTTCGCCAATTCTACAGCTCCTCGTAAAGGAATGCTCACTGTGAGCATCATCTCATCCCTAGCACTGGACCTGGCCTGGAGTGGGCCCTTAATTTAATTTAATGGAAGAGAATTCTGATGACTTACCACCTCCCCTCCCTTCCCCTCACAGGGATATTCCGAGCGTGGCTGGCACAAAAAAGGGAGTGAACCTGCCAGCACAGATTTGGTACCATTTAACTCCCAAGGTGGAAATTGGAGAAGAGGGGGAGCCCGGGGTCTAGAATGACCCCTGAGCAGGCTAACTCCTGGCTTAAGAATGTGGCCCTTAAAGAGATCGATAGGTCTTACTGCTCGGCATCCAATCTCTGAGGCTGCTATCCTCAGGTCATATTTGAGGTGGGGTCCGGAGGGCCACTCAAGCAAGTGCTGGGTCGGCCATGTCTTTTACTCAGTTAACTCTACCTCCTTCCCCTGCCTTGCTGAGTGCGGCTTCCTGCTCCAGTGTTCTGTCCTGAGGGAAGGGTTAGAGAAGGAAAGAGACTTGAGAGGCAGAGGGGGCACTGTGGATAGGAAACCCAGGAAGACCTAGGTTCAAATTCTGCCTCAGATACTCCGTGGCTCATTTCTCTCACCTGCAAAATGATAGGACGGGACTCAGATCCCTTCCATGTCTCACCCTGTGATCCAATTACATACAAGCTGTGGCTAGGTCACAGATGTCCCAAGCGTGTTCAGTGAAAAAAAAAAGCTGAACCAAAATAGAATGATGCCATAATCTATATCTAATATGGCTTTCCAGATGACCTCATAAATGCTGCACATCTAATCTATATCTAACATCTATCTATAGATATATCTCTATATCTACGTATCTAATATAGCTATATCTAATACAGCTTTCCAGATGACCTCATAAACTCTGTGCATCTAATCTATACCTAATATCTATCCATAGATATATCTCTATATCTACATATCTAATACACCTTTCCAGATGACCTCGTAAACTCTGCACATCCAAGCTCATGGGGCTGAGACACTCATCTGCTGGGTCTACTTCAAAGGCTCTGACCCTAGAAAATCTATTCACTGACTCCTCTTGGCTAAACTCACTTCCCCGTGATTTCCAAATGGTTACTGAAAAGCATGTGCTTCGTCTTTTCCTCAGGTCAAGCCACAAACAGGGAATGTATGAGACCAGAGAAAGAACAGTGCTGATCATGTGAGACCTCAGCAGCATTCTCACTTGTAAATGCAACATCTGCTTTTACAGGCAGATGTTGAAATGCCCTCAGACAAATTCAGTGGAACACAGATTCTGAGGGCTGCTCCCATAAGGGGACAGCTTTACATTTCTGAACTATCACCAATCAGCCAAACATGCTGGTGAATTAAACCTGATTAAAACACCAGGAGGAACCTTTTGTGAGGTTTGTGAGGCCAATATGAACCAAAGAGGTGAGGAGAGTCTCAGCTTAGGCCCGTTGAAAACATTTAGCTCTGCCTAAAATGCCCCCCCTCTTAGGAGTCTGCTGAGAACCCTCGATCCTGCTGGGTTCGGGTGTAGAAAGCCCCCGCTGGATCCCCTCGAGCCCGCTGGAACCCTAACACCCACTGTCCACCAGAGTCCTAGGTCATCGTGTGAGTAACAAAAGCTAGATGTGTCATCTGTATGTAAATGAAATGGAAATGCAGGGTCCACCAAACATGCAGAAAAACAAGACCATATCCTCCATGCATGCACCAGCGAGCACACGTTAGTGACCGTTTCTATCAAATCATTTTGATATGACATGATATTCGCGCTCTGTTTAGGAAGATGACTGGTTAATGGGAAATCTAATGGGGTGGCATATTCACCTCTCTAAATGAAGTTTTTAAGAAAAATTCCCAACGTGGTTTTGGTGAAGAGCACATAGATTCAGTTTTAATTCTGACAAAGTTAGACTGGGTTAATATCATCCATCACACACGGCTGCCATGCAGCCAATGGCTACCTTCATTTCTTTCAGGCCCTGCATGTATTTGCCTTCTACGTCCTGAATCTGGTCCTTTAACTCATTGATCTCCTGAGGAAAATGGCAAGAACAGGAAAGGACATCACAGGAACAGACTGACAAGGGTCACAAACAAAACTCTGGGCTGACAGGATTCCGGGTCCAGGCGCGTCCTGCCCAGGGAGGAGTTTCAGCCGCTAGTTTCCCAAAGGGCAAAACTTACGTAGATAATAAAAATGATAGTATGAGCATGGAAGTGAGGGCATACCCTCTGTGATGCTGTTTTTTGGATTTTGGAATTGCTTGGCACAAAGGCAATGATGGATCTGGGGTCAAGGGTCTGGATTCAAATCTCCATTCTGCTATTATGACTCACGTGACTTTGGGCAGGCCATTTTACCTCTGGGCCTATTTCCTATTTTACAAAATGACAGAACTGGACGAGGTGATTGCTTAGGGCTCCTCCAGCTCTGACCCTTAGGAAATGGCGCCTCACGGGAACAAATACCATAGGAATGAAGGCAAAGTTATTTTCCTCAAGTAATCTTAAAATAACATTCTTTCAAGACAGAAGAATTCCACCCCTCTGATCTAGCCTGTACTTGGATGTTTCTTAATGATCGCTTAACAAACTACAGCTGAATGCCCCATATGCGCTGTGGGAGGTGGCCCTACAAACAGGAGCAGTTATATTATTACCTCTTGCTCCCACCCCCTCCCCATTCCTACCTCCTCCATCCATCCCTCCACCATTATGTTAAATGCTGGCTGACTGGTTGAATAACCTCCTGGAAAGTGAGGACTGTGGGTTTTTTTTGTGTCCCCTGCATTTGGCATCCAGTAGGGGTTTCATAAAAGCTTGAAGATCTCCTTGAGACCAAGAACTCTTTGGTTTCTGTATCTCCAGTGTCTAGAAAAGGTGGCACACAGCAGGCACTTAAAGTCTTGTTGATGGACCGTAAGCTCCCTGAAGGCAGGGACTTACTGTCATCTTTGTATCTGCAGTGCCCAGCACAGCACTTAGCCACAGGAGCTGCTGAGTGGAAATAATGAGGCAATTCAGCTCTCTGCTCAGCCTGGTGATTGATCTGCCTGCGTCTTGTTATGACTAAAGTCTTCATTAATATTGACAATGACTTTGGCACGGACTTTGTTCTGAGGTCTCCTTTGTAACTAGAAGTTGCTGGGCTTCCTACTCAGAGTCTTTTTCTGATTCTGGATTTGGGTCTAGACAACACGACAGGAGGCAGAGGGTGAAAAAAGGCTCTCCTTCTCAGTGGCTGGTTTTTCTAAAGGGCAGTTTCAAGTCAGGAACCACTCAATGATGCCTTACCTTGATTTCCCTCATGGAGGCCTCGGTGTCCACAGAGATGGAAGTGTCCCCGCTTCCCCTCCGAGAGGAGGTTCCGCCCAGAGAGGCTAACGTGGCTGCCGATAAGCTGGGCATGTTACGAGATCCCTAAAACATTTTAAGAGACCACTTTCAGAACTGAAAATTGTCTTCTCCTATCCAGTGGATCAAACAGTTTCTAAACCCACGAGGATTATTATAAACACAGCCCAACCCTTTACAGTGGTTTCCAAGCCAGTAAATTGGCAGTTGAGCAGTGGGTGGCCAGTAGCAAGAGGGCAGCTCACGGCCCAAGGTTTCACCAGTGGAGCCTGAGTTGGCCTGCCACACTCTCTGACTCTCTTGCCCAACACGGGAAGAAACATGCAGTGGGATGCCCCAGGGGGCTTGCTCAGGATTTCCCACAGCAACTCCATCTAATTCTCAGCTGCCTCTTCTCCTGTTTCTGCAAACCAAATAATATGCTTTTTTTCTCGTCCATTTCATCCATGAATTCTGAAAGCCATAATTAAAAAAAAAATGACAAGATAAAAATACTCACCTTCTCAGCAAAGTCCTTTTCTGGCCTCTCTTCAACCTGTCGAGAAAAAAAAAGAACTCAGTAGGCAAATATTAAATCTTTTAAAGCAATAATTGGTTCATCTACGTTTTCAGCTGGGTTTCCTTCACCCAAGGCAGCTGTGTACCCCTAGAAGATGGAGTGTCAGGCTTCTCAGACCTGAGTTCAAACTTTGTCTCTAACTAACTGTGGACCCTGAGTGTCATATCACCTCTGCCACAGTTTTCCCCTCTGTAAAATGGAGTTATTAATAGTACCTACCTCACAGCTGTTGTAAGGAATCACATTAAAGCATTTTGCAAATCTCAGTGTTCTAGAGATGCTAGTCAGCATTAATTAAGACTATTAAACCCACGTTGTGTATTAAGCGTTTTGAAGGACCTTCAGCTTGCCAGGGCTGTACATATACCGATGTTAATAAATGCAACTTTACATTTTACCAAGGTGAATGAAATTCATTTCATTTTTAAGGCTTGACCAGCTATACGGGCACATAATTATGTTTATAGAAGACAGAATGGAGAACAATTTTAATTTCACATGTGAAGGTTTCTTATTAGATTTTAATTACAGAATGACCAATGAGGGGAGCGGGCTATTGAATCTGAATCTGTTTCCCCATCATCTGATCACCAGCTGACTTGTTCCTCAACTCTCCCTTCTTAGGAGAGACACTCCAGAGCACCACCATCCCCTCTCCCCTTTGTGTGCTCCCATTAGAATGTAAGCTCTTTGAGGGCAGGGACCATCTTGCTTGTATCTGTATCCCTGGCACTTATCATAGTGCCAGGCACACAGCAAGCATCTGTGAAATGAGGAACAACTGTATCTACTTCACCCGAGTATTGTGAGGATCAAATGAGGTGGTTGTTGTTGAGTTGTTTCAGTTGTATCTGACTCTCTGTGACCCCTTTTGGGGTTTGCTTGGCAGAGATACTACAGCAGTTCTCCATTTCCTTCTCCAGCTCATTTTACAAGTGAGGAAACTGAGGCAAAGAGGGTTAAGTGACTTGCCCAAGGTCACACACCAATTATGTGTTTGAGGCCACATTTGAACTCAGGTCCTACTAACTCCAGGGTTGGCATTCTATTCACTGCACCACCTAGCTGCCCATCAAATGAGATGGTGGATATAAAGTGTTCTATAAGCCTTAAAGTATTATATGAATGCTAGTTATTATCAGGAATGAGCTAACTAAGCATATGTCCACTGTAGGAGAGGCAGATGGCTTTAATATGGTTGTCCTAAAGCATGACCAACAAAAAACAGTTGACAATCTCTCTCTCTACCTCTCTGTCTGTCTGTCTGTCTGTCTCTCTCTCCAGGCATCTCCAGCCCAGGTGAAGCTGATATTTCAAAAACTCCATTTGAAACAAAGCAAGTCATTTGGAAGGTGACCCCTCCCCAAGGTCAGCTGTGTTTTCAGAGCCGGCACCCACTAAGAAATTCCAGTAACATAAGCCTTGGTGCGATTGGGAGACAAGCAGGAGCATGCAACTCCATCGTCCCAAATACAGAATTACTGCCTGTTTCTGACAAGTCAGAGTAACAAAGTGAAACCCCTGGAGCTTTCAGACTGGAGGCTTGATCTGAACTGTTTGCCAGGTTTGGTTTTTTAAAAATCTTTCTATCATACAAACATACCAACTTAACCCTTTGTGTGCTGCATTATTGTGCTGCGGGTATTTGTAAGATGACTCCCGTCTTGACCCAGCAGCCGCTCAGCGTTGCCCAAGTATTTTATTCACCTAGAACATGGTGCCAGCGGGTTTCCCCTTTGGTCTCAGCTGCCAGGGGCGCCAACCCCGAGCTCTGGGCTCCTCCCACTATATGATGTATGTATAGTGTTTCCTTCCCTTGGATAAGTCCCTTCAGTTTTGAGCCACTGGCAGCTCAGATCCTAAGCCAGGGAGTCCTAACCTGGGGCCCAAGGACCTGTGGAAGGATTTCAGGGGGTCCATGTCCTCGCATGGGAAAAAGTCACATCTTCATTTTTACTAAGCTGTAACTGATGAGCATTTTCTTTCATGAGGAATGTAGGCAAGCAGTGAAAACCCCTTGCTCTGAGGTATCGATGGTTTGGAACTGTGGAGAGACTTCCCTGGCAGACCAAATGAAAGTCCAGTTGAGTCAGTCAACAAACGTTTATTAAGCACTTACTGTGTGCCAGCCAAGTACTGGGGACAATAAGACAATGATGGACAAACAGCCCTCAGGCGCTTATGTTCTAATGGGGGACATAACATGGAAATATCTAGGCAGATACACAGTATATACAGAGCAGATAGAAGGTACTTTGGAAGGCGAGAGGACTCTGGGAGGAGAAGACAGTGAGGGCCGGGGGGAGCCATGAAAGGCCTCCTGCAGAAGGAAGGATTTTTACTGAGTCTTGAAGAAAGTCAGGAAAATAAGAGGTGGTGGGGTGAGTGGGTACAGTGTTCATGATGCGGGGCACAGCCAGTGCAAAAGTATGGAGGAAGGAGATGACAGAAGGCCTGAATGACAACAATCCCGACAAGGAGGTTCTGTGGCAGACGTATCAATCTTTTACCCTGAGTTTCACGAATCCATCAAGCTCCTGTTGCATCCTGCTGCCCAGGTGAACTTTCTGAATCCCCCTTTGCATCATCTCAGTCCCCTCCTCTCCACTGACCCACATCTCATACCCAGGCCTGCCCAGGCCCATTTCCATGGGGTGTGCACCAGGAATTTAATTTTCGAAGGCAAACACTTGCTGAATATTCAAACCAAAAGGATGTTATTTTTATTCATCAAAGAAGCTAAAACTCAATTGAACCTAACATCTAAACTGTATTTAAAAAATCCCAACTCTGGACAAAGTTCTTTCTAACTGATCAATCAAACCTTTAAACGCACGTCTGCTCTGTGCTTTTAGCTTCTAATAGCTAGGATCGCTCCACACAACAAGGAGGGGCTCAGTACATTTGGATAGACAGTGCCCAGCGCTGTGCCCGGTGCCACAGGAGAAATGGAGAGAACGAAACAACCTCTGGCCTCCAGGAGCTTCAATGCTACCCAGTGTTTCAGCAAACCTTTTTCCTTTTCCTGACTGGCCTCTGTTTCTGGCCCGTCACTTTGCCATGAAGAGCCCCCGGAGGAGTTTCAGCACTGGGGACCAGAGGTGGAGCCTTTTAACGATAGAATTTTAACTTCGGCCATCCTTGCTTGTGCCAACCAGAGACCTGCAGTCACATACTGGCCGAGCCAGAGAAAACAGTGTCCAAAGGAATGACTGGCATCCCTGGGCAGGAAGGGGGAGGCTACGGAGGAGGAGGGCTAGCCTTGGCAGGCATTACCCTCCTCCCCTCCCTCCCTGACAAGGAGCTAAGCTGGGGCAGTGGCACAGACAGAGATGGAAAGAGAGAAGGGATGTAGGGGTGATCAAGCCGCTGGACCACGGTTCATGGGAGCTGCAGAAGGAAGACGGGGTAATGGGGGGTGGTGGCTGTGGCCACCAAGCGTCCCCAGAGACTGGGAAAGTCATCCCCACTCCTGGCAGGCTCCAGGCTCCAGGTCCCAGACAGTCCCTCCAGAGCAAAAGGGCACCTGACCCATTAGGACCCTCTCCTCATACATGCTGACAGCCACATTTCCAGTTTCTCCCAGGCTAGCTCCCACTCCACCCCAGCTCCCAGCTATCAGTGCCTCTTTCTCCAAATGACCTCACATTCACTTTCTGTATATTTCCACATGCTGCTTCTTCCAAAAGAATGTTAAGCTCCTCCTGATAAGGACAGCTACATTTTGAGATTCATGTCCCCAGTCTGTCTAATAAACTCCTGGGGAAAGGTTGGGCCTTGTCTCCCAGAGCTGGGCTGGGCACGCGCCAACACGTGTACAGTATGTGACAAATGTCCTGATTCTCATAATCTTAATCATAAGGATGATGATTTCTCTCCATTTTAATATCCAAACATGGAAAGAGTTTTTCTTTTTCCTTTAGGAGTAAGAAAAGAGTTTCTCCAACATGGACATCTAACATCTAACATCCCCACTTTTTCAAGGGGGCCCAGACTTGGTGATGAGGGCAGTTCAACAAGGATTGTGAGTTAAAGGAATCTCTGCCCATCCCCCCAGTCCTCCCAAAGAGCCCAGAATCTGTGCTCCATAATCTCATTGGTGCCTCCTAACCACACCCCACTGTACAGGAGCGTCCAGCCTATCGATCAGGCATAAAGTGCTCAGTAAATGTGAGTCACCTTATTACAGCATGAGCTCCCAGGGGACGCTCAGCCTCAGGGTTTCAAAAAACCCAAAGATGCCATGGGCAGTTGGGGCACACGCCCAAAGGTCACTTGGCTCTCTCTAAGGCACATTTCTGAAAATGACGTCGTGCTGCTACATCGGATGCGGCAAAGTCCAAACCAAATCTACGAACCCCTATGATTTCATAAGTCAGGTCACCTCAAACAAGAGCCCAACATAGACACCCTAGGAGGCCATTTGATCTGGGTGTTCCGAATTCAAGCGCTAGGTGGCAGGCTTGTGTTGGACCAAAGTTAGCTTTTAGGACAAGTGGGGGAAAAGTAAATTAGGTCATAGGAGTGATTGCTGGAGAGGGCCAAAATCCATTCAGGGCTTTGAATGCCAAACAGAGCATTCTGTATTTGCTCCTGGAGGCCACAGGGAGCCACTAGAGTTTACTGCATAGGGGGCTGAGAATACAGAGCATGTTATAGGGGGTGCTTAGCCTGGGGGGAAGACAGGCTTGGCTGTAAGAGCTGCCATGTATTTCAAGGGCTATCGACCTCAAAGAGGGTTTGGTTTGTTCTGTGTGGCCCAGAGGGGTAAAACTAGAAACCGTGAATGGGGCTGAAGTTACAGAGGCTGCAGAATACTTGCTAACAATGATTGTGTTCTGGGAGGTAGTGAGTTTCCCCTCAATGAAGTCTTCAAGCAAACACTGAGTGAACACACTTATAAAGTATACGGCAGATTCTTTCAGTTATGGATTGAATTGAAGGTGCTTCCTGAGGTCCCTCCCCTCCAACTTGGT